AAGTCCAAACTCATGGTACCACGATTTCGTTTAACTAAGGTAAACGATTCTTTTATGGCGAACTGTATACGTGTTTACAGTAAGATTTCGGAGCATACATTAAGATTATCATTTCCTAAGTTTAAAACTTACTTTACAAGTATTTTAATTGAAAAGAAATATTACAAAATTGTAGACTACGTGTTAAATAAAGATGTATGGAAAGACAACATGAGTCTAGATTCCACTCAAATGTGATTCAAAATGTATTCTAAAGCGTTTAATTTTGATTGAAAAGAGCTATCCCTAGAGTTTCTTGCTCGTTCTTCTCAGGGAAATCGGCACAGTGAACGAGCAATACCTTAAAAAATGACATTTTCAAGTGTAAACATTTTACCTATGGAATAAATTATTATTTAACTTTGACTTTGACCAGGAATCCTCCTGGATTAAGCTTATTATTATTACTTTACCGACCTTCGAAGTACACGAATGAACGAGATTTATTTAACAAAAATTCAGAACAGCTACAGAGCTCGAACATTGTAATACTTTTATGAGAATTTTATTTACTCTGTGATGAAAATAATGAAAAATTTAATACAGCTCTCATGCTGCTAGGAGTATAAAATCCTTAGAGCTGTAAAATAGTTGAAATTAAGGCGAAAATGGTCTCGTTCCTTTATATTGCTGACTAAGAAGTTTGATAAGTCAAAATTTTCATTTAGAATTTGACGAAATTCTGCAGATATAAAATATTAGAATACATTGCAAAATTTGTTCATAATTTGGCCATCGATTAGACAAAACATGGGCTATGAAACGAACAATACAGAATCATTAAAAATTGATCTTTTTATTATGGCACGGAATCCCGTGTTATCCGAAGCTACGGTACATTCTGCTTGTCTCTCAATCATATTTGAAGTACATCGCATTGTATGGTAAACAAACTGTATATTACCTATGGGTTATTAAACTCCTATTGCGAAGACATCATTTCGCAAGCCATTTGTATAGACTTCATAAGACCCGGTGGTATTCAATACCTGCCTAACTACTTTTACCGTTGTCTCGTGCAATGGATGAAGCAAATTGGGCATCAATAGGAACAAAAAAAACAATCGTTTTAATACGAGGATAGTAGAGCAGAGTTTCAATTATGTCTGCTCGGTTTTCTCTTCTCCGAGAAACGTTCATGGTTTGCAAAAAGAGGCCAATATTCTCGACTGTTTTATTCTAAATTTACTTGATAATTGCAATATTTATTTCATAAAATGTCATGGTGTTATACAATTGCATATTGTATTTATCATTTAGCGTATAATTTTCCTTGATCCAAATGACTATCAATTAATAGGAGTACTATAACATGTAACCATTTAATAACTTATTAACCTTGATTGTAACGGTTTTTTAACATTGTGAAATCCGTGGTAGCGGTTGAAATTTATTAAAAACCGTAATATGTCAATGCCACGAAGGCTTTTAAGCCCTGGTAATAAAATCGACGCTCAACAGTAAACACTTTTTCAACATTAATTATTCGAAAGCAAAATAAAGGCCTCATTTTATTAACCTGTTACGCAAGGTAGTATCTATATGAAGTTGACACTCGTATTAATAAAAACAACGACCTTATCTACTACAAAGAAATCGTAATAACATTCTTAATGATTCTGAAATTATTGAAACAAAACTATTAGAGAAACAAAACGCAGGTTCTTAATTACCCGTAAATACCAATTTTGTATACCTACGACGTTCCTAAAGCCTCCGCTTTATATTCTCACCAAGAACGATTATAATGTTATATAACAGTACCAGCCTATCAGGTATTCATGTATTAAATAGCTATTGTAATTAATGTATAATCGATTATAATTGGATTGGAATTTGCTATTATCCGGCTAAATTCAAACCCGTTATAATCCTTTTCACATAGATTCATCAATAAATTTATACTTATTATCTCTCAAAATACAGTTTGCCCTTTCGACGCAATGTTTGTTTTAGTAAAAGCAGTGATGTATGAATTGGTAAATTAACCGCATAGTCCGCAAACAAAGTTGTTTACTTTGATTAACTCTACGAATATTGCTTCTGCTTTTGTGTGAGTTTCTGAACGTATACATGACATTGTACTTACGGTGCAGGACAATTAACACGTAGTAATTTCAGTGTGAACTAATTTTTAAAACAAGGCTATTACTCGTTTATAATACAAATAAGAACGCCGTAAGAGTTGTTACAGTTGTTACATTTTTACACCTAAATCATTGAACCAACTTTGATGGATTTTGATATAGAGATAGATGGAACCTAGGAGAAGGGAATTGGCTACATTGTGTTACAAAAAATTAATCTTGAAGGCGGTGAAATAGGGCATGAAAGTTTGTATGGAGAAATGATCATTTCTCAGGTAAATGCAGCAGGCTACTTGAAGTATCTCTTCTATACAGACGAAGTTGCAGGCGTCAACTAGTATACAAATAAAAATGAAAGTGAAACAAATCATACGAACTAATCATATTTTCGAAACAAAGTTCAGTAGGTTAGCAGACGTGTATAGTTCAGATCTGTGTTGTGAAATGGAGGGCTTTTATTACATATATATGTGACGTCAGTAGACTGCAATAACAGGGGTTATTGCAGTATTCAATGGACCCGTATTAGCAGTGTACAGCGACAATTATCCGAATCTACATTCAATTCATTTACTCTGACAGTCGATTGTCGCTGGGGCGTTTGAAATAGATTTTGTTCTCGGTCATGGGTAGCAGGTGTCCTCGCAAAGTCACTTTCCCTGGTTTGGCAAGCCATTCCAACTGTTTCATTCCGGCGCCCATTCTGTTTCATGTCTATTTCCGAATGGAAAATGGAACGCGGTCTGGATTTATTGTATTGCACGCGTAGTTAGAAAATTGCTTGTGCCTACGTACAATTGTACATCGTTGGCGTTAAAGCCAATGCTATTGGGTTTAACCTAGTTTTTCAAACATACTTACTGGGAAAGTTGCATTTTTTCAAATGAAATCTAAGTCTTAGAAATGTTTGCGTGTAAACAAATAAATATTACACAACACATACGTTGCTCTGGCTCCAAAATAAGTAATCAAAACACTAGTGACATGGAAATCAGAAACAACGATAGTACCACAAGCACTCAAACCCGAGACAATATAGAAAAGTTAGTTTTCTACATTAACTCGGCCGGGGTTCGATCGGGGCAACTCAGAGATGGCGACACCATGAAAACCGGTATGCAAGCCACTCAGCACGAAGATCGTCAATTTTTTTTTCATAGTTCCGGCCTAGGACAACCCTGTATCGCGGGTGCCATGGACTCACATATACACAACTACAAATTACACCCAAACTCACGATACAAATAAATGTAGGCCATACAAATATTCGAATCGAACCCGGGACCTCTGCGGCCACGGAGTCAGTTTATAATTCAATATAGATAGTATGTTTCTAAAACTATATTAATGATAGTTAATACGTTCAGTCCGCGGTTAACCCGTCACTCGCCCTAGAAACACACGGTGTCCATGACGATTTTGGTATATTTTTATTTTTTATAAAAAAAATGGAAGATGAAAACACAGCTGCGCGTTAGAGACGCCGTGTGCCTTCGTTCGTTACTTGGAACTTTTAATCTTAGGGGCGCCAGTGGACTGTGCCTGTCACCCTGAGACATAAGTTGACAAATCCCATGTGTCCGTAATTTTATCTCACATTATTGCTTGGCGGCAGAAATAGGTAAGGGTAAGTAGCGCCATACTTCCCTAGACGAACTCTTTCACAAGGAGCTCTACTGCTACTAAATTTAAGAGCCAGGTTCTTGTCAGCGTAGCCTCCTCCACTCCTCACGGTTCGCAGCCAGGTCCTTGACCTCTTTATCGTTGTTATTTGTTCTCTCTTTGCTCTCTTTCTTTTCCCTTCTATGCTCCCCTCGATTATTACTCTCACGGTACAAGTACAGTACAATGTTTATTGAAGAAATCGAAATTAAACAAAAAAAATTCCTCTTAAATTTGCTGACAAAGCAGTTTAACGTTACAACAGTTTAACATTGATAAATAAAAAATCCTTTCTAACTAAAGTTTACGAAAATTACAAGAATGAAAAATCAACCTCGAACCATTCGAGAAACCTGTATTAGCAGGAAATTAAAACAAATTAATGAAAAAATGACGGTTAACTAATTTTTTAGTTTCAAATTAGACCTTAAATCAGAAGGTAAAATACCTGACTAGACTTTTTAATTAATCAGTACAGAGTAATAAAAAACCGACCTCAAAAGTCGACGTGGAATATTTTGTTCAAATTTAAATGGGACCACTAGTGTTCACAAAGTCGAAGATAACTCCGACGACCGCGTATTTTGCATAAAAAACATACAGTCGAATTGTCCTTTTTGTGAAGTCGGCTAAAAAACATTATTAATATAAATAAATATATATAAACTGCATTATTTTGCGATTTTAATAATAAGAATTATTATTATTTATTTCGGAATCTTGTCTAAAGTGTTAGTAAAAAATTCTCTTGGGACTAGTGTTAGTAGGGTTGAAAATAAAATAAAATGAAAAATTATATTCTGGTGTGGTTGCTGCACATAATGCTGTAACATTGGGGAGTCCCACTGGCCTATGAACACACTCAGGAGTCCGTTGGTGCTACCACGGAGGCGGGCTAACATGGAGGCCTAACGTCTTCTCATTATAGCATAGAAGTCACTGCGCAAACATCTCCGAAGCACTATAACGCCACGGCAGCCCAACAGAACCCTGAATGCGTTATTATATTGGACCCACAGGTCACTGTATGCATTCGCTTCAAAACCGACCCAGAGGCTGCAGGTGTAGAATGATTGGCAGTATGTTTTGAAAAGCGAAATTTTAACTGGTTTTGTACACCTTGCAAACCATCTGGCCAGCACGTTACAGCGGCCAGCGACCTGCGCATTTTACTAATGTTGCGCTAAAAATGCCAGTGTGTTTTAGGCACCTTAATCTTTGTTCAATACATTGAACGTCTGTCTAAACGGCGTATCTTAGGTGAGACGCCAACTTACCTTATAGCAAATAATCACTTTTATGTAACATAATTCGTAACCTTGGTATAATAACAACGCATGAGAAAAGACGTCAAAAGTACTTTTATCACATCATCACCAGCAAAAAACACTACGTTAACTTAAAAATAAAAATTTTTCACGAGAACCTATAAAAGAGAAACTTGCTATAACTTTTAATTTTAAAAACATGTAATAATAATAATATTATTATTAACTAAGACATCAAAGTCTAAATTGAAATGTAGTAGAAAATACCTTGGAGGTATAAATAGCAAATTATATCATTACCTTTTCTATTTCTTTGTATCTAGAATCCTGATAAAAATTTATTTAGGCTGTTATCGGGAATCATTGGAATTTCTTTACAAAGAAAGCAAACGTATTATTAGTGCTTTGAATGGAACGCTTTGCCGTTATCAACGATCCGTTGGTTGAAAGGCTTACTACTAAGAATCGTACAAAGGCGATATTAGAAGTTAGTAACAATTTATTATTGAAATTACAATAATCGTTTTTCTTTTTCAATACTATGGCATTCAAGCGCATTAAATGCTAATGTCAATTTTAATACAGAAGTGCGGTTATAATAACATCCACCTAATTATATCTTCATTAACAACTTGAACGCCACGCGGGTCACCATGTGGGCCACACTACGAATGTCGTTGGAGCCACCAGGATTTCGTAATTTTCATGAGTTTTTACAATGTTGTATTTCAATGACAATGCATTGAAAATGTAGTATTTGCCACTGTAAACTAAAAACTCTGGTGTTTTTATTACAAAAACCAATTAAATTGTATGTTGGCGCACGGGTGTCCCCCGTGGCCTCAGCGGAAGGGATTACGTTTTTACATCCGCGGGGGCCGCGGGGATCACCGCTTGGCCCACCCCGTGCACCTCCCCCCGCGTGCTCTTGCGCCGCGGGCCGCGGTCGGCGATTTAGTAGCCCATTATATAAATATATCATATAAACTTCCAATAAAATACTAAATATTTATATACGTTACATACGTCCCATTTGATGCAATTTGACACAACCCTTACGAAATATAGAAAAACGTAAATAAATTCTAAGTCTTTTGTGGAAAATAAGAACCATGCTAACTGAGTGTTCTACAGGGCCACGCGGCCCACCTTTCTTACTATTTGGAATGATAACGATACCTCGTGGCTTGTAAATCGCGTTTAAAGAGAAGCATTGCCTTGGCCCACCGGTGACCCGTGTGGCCTGAATGGATTCAATGGGTTTGGCCCACCCGTGCCCCCCATGGCCTGAATGGAAAAGTCACTTTTTTTTAGTGGCGTTCAACGTGTTAACCAAATTATAATTGCGAAAACAATTGACACATTTGATTATGAGTTTACGTAAATGCTGTTAACACTATACACTATCTCCTTTTTCAAATAATTCCGAGATCCTAATAAAAATATTGAATGAATGAAATTAAGGAGTGAAATATTCTTTGTTGCACATACAATTACAGTGGCAGAACAGTAAGTTATGTATAAAACTAATAAGTCAATGTGCAACAGGTGATATTATTGCTACGTAGAAATTTATTCCAGGCAATTTTAGGATTGAAATTTGGTATAAGCAAAACAGGTGCAACCAAGGAATGTACATTACGCATAATAAGTACTAACAAAACATATATGTAAATATAATGCTGATATATCATTGACTTACAATATATAGAATAATTATCTGAAAGAAAAAGATATTAGTCTAAGCTTCATTCATTAAATTTCTTGTAATTATATGCTTATCTTCTAATTATGTGCTTTACGATATGTATTTTGAAATTTCACTAATTGTATTCTTTATTTTGTTTCCAGGGAAACCTCTTCACATGTCCAAATGGTAAGTTATAATTTAATTACATAGAAGTAACTTAAATATTACTTGACTGAAATTAATGTACAGGGTCAAGAGCACAAGTTTGTTCTTCTTCTTTACGCCACTTACGATAAAACGACTCGAAGTCCCAGTCGAAAATGTAATAATATTGTTTAGACTTGAGCCAAGTTTTAGACAAACGTAATTGAGTGCCTATTTTACAGTAATAAAGTTCATTACTTAAACAAAGTGTTAAAAATTAAAATATTTTACAAATTTCATTGCTCGATGAAGTATTTTACTTCATTTCATTAGTTGATGAAAAGAAATATCAATGTCAAAGTCAAAACTAAAAATCTTTTAAACTGTTTTACGTAAACAATAAAACCTTTAATAGTTAAATTATAATAAACATAGTTATAGAAAAGTCTGCAAGTTCATGATATTAACGTAGATAAAATTATTTTTCACAAATATCAACAACGACGACGAAAGAAGCAATTATTGACATTTTAAAGGCAAAGATTCAAACTGTACAGCCAAAGTTATTTTTTTAAATGTGCTATCTTTTTTAAAATAATTACTGCTTATGATACCTCAAGTATTATACTTTAATGTAATATGATAGAAATCGTAATTCACGTTGTTTACAAACAAGGTATTTTCTTAGAAATTAGCGCGATGGCTTCTACATTACAAGACAAGAAATATTTTAAGAGTTTCATTTTTATCAAAGTAATCGCTGAATCCATCTAAAAACACGTTCAATCACGATTTCAAGTCACGTTTGTTTAGTTTCCAAACGAATAACTATTTAAACTATTTAAACGAATAACTTTTAACGCAAAATGTCATTTTTATTGCAATGTTATGAATTTTATTAATTTTTTTACCACAATAATTCCTTTAATAATTATGGTAGGTATAGCTCGTACTTATTCTTAGTGCAAACAATCTTTACATGTAATTCTTTCATTGGTATCATTTTTTTACAACAACCCACCGAGCGCGGAATTAGACCCGCCGCGATCCCGACCCGACCCGCGCTCGACTCGCAATGCTCTCTCTATGTGTTTCACGCTTAAGAAAAATTAAAAAAACCGGAGCAAAGGATTTTTTTTGTGTTTGTCCGATGTTTGTATCAATTATAACCACACCTGTCAAATCGCGAAGAGTTTCTTTACTTACATTTCTTTGACCTTATAGGTAATTATCATACTTGCATACTCGCTTTGCAAAGCTATCAAATTCATATTTCACGCCTACTATACACCTGGTGTAAAAAACAATAGTACAAACACTGTGTTGTAATAATTTCCCATGTTCACTCCTACATCGACTTTGTAGTATTATGAGTAGGTGTCCACTAAATATATTAACGCGCTGACTGGCTGTATGTAATACGTTGTTAATACCTACGTAAGTACGTGTTTTACACGCACGTAATTATTGAAACTCGTATTGTTTTAAATTAACACGACGATTTCGTTACTAAATACCATTCTTAAACTCCATTTTCAATGATGATATTGGAAATCTGTTTTTGTTTTGTAATGTTTTTTTAATTGCCTTCGTACTTATGTTAATGTGAGTTATTTACGCAGGCTACCCAAAATTAAATTTCAAAAATAGAATGGGCATTGTATCTTTGTCATATTTCATCATAGATAATAACTATGTATTTCATCTACTCTTTCTTAATAATAATAGTAATAACGTACACACTCATAGTCTTGCTCTATGGAATATACTCCAGTCCAATTCAATGTAGATTAAATGTCAACAAACGAAAACGACGCTAATCATACCTAGATATCGTTTAAAATCATCTCAGACTGTTTTATAATTCTCACAATTTTTCATTAAAATTGTTTCATTGATTATATTATTCTTGAAGTCATATCTGTGATTAATTTTGTTTAATAGAAGTATAGTAAAAATTACCAGTAATTAACAAAACTGTCATCCCAATTGCTCTATTGCCGAATGGTTACCATGCTGGTCTGCGATGCAGAGGTCCTGGGTTTACATTTATTTCTGTAGTGAGTTTGGGTGTAATTTGTTGTTGTCAATGTGTGTGTTTATGGCACCCGCGACACAGGATATCCCTAGTGAGGGGCTTTAAAAAATATATTTAAAGGGTCATCCACTTTTAGCTACTCTAATCCACAATTAAATCGTATCATCTTTAAGTAAGAATGTAATTTGTGTGTCTTCTATTTCCGTATTTGTTTCCACAAATACATTTTTAGTAAAACTGCAAGATTGTAAACAGCTAATGTAACATTCTAATGTAGCGTACCTAGTCAGCACTGATCACCAATGAGTCACCAGAAATGTGTCACGGAACAAGTTCAGTCCGATTTCTACAAATCTAGAGTTTCTAATGGCATATTGCTCATACGTCATAATAGTTATTTATCTTGTGATATTTTATCGTTGGTGCAAAAACGTGTTAGTATGCGGGCTATTGGAGTTAACGTACATTGAAGAATGCAATGTGAGCGTATGGAGATCATGTTTAGCTTCAAAGAATGTGTTTATATTTGTTAATGCCGGTTATACAGCACGTAATAGTGACATCATAAACATTGACTACCTCCGTGGCGGAACAGTTATAATGCTCGACTGCCACGCAGAGGACCCGGTTTCGATTCCCAGCCGGCAGAAATATTTGTATGCCCTACATTTATTTCTTTCGTGAGTTTGGGTGTAATTTGTGGTTGTCTATATGTATCCATGGCACCCGCGACACAGGGATTCCCCATTATTACTTATAGAACCTATCATTTACGTTTTTGGTACGTAACCTTATGAAGCTTTTTAGTAGCAGTAGAGCTCCTTGTGAAAGAGTTCGTCCGGGGAAGTACTGCCACCTTACCTATTTCTGTCGTCAAGCAGTAAAGTGAACATTACTGCGTTCCGGTTTCGAAGGCAAGGGTGCTGGTGAAGTTACAAGCACATGGTACTTGTCAACTTATGTCTCAGGGTGTCGGGCGCAATGGCAATGCCCATCAGATCTTTACGATTTCAAGCTTTGAGTGGCACTGCAGTTATTCCGGACAGGTGTGTCGCTTACCACCAGGTACACGACTTGTTCGTCCCGTCAATTATTATTATATAAAAAAAGCTCTATGTATATGCGTTGTCATTTAAATTGACAACTATGTCAACCTCGTACGCAAAGCAGCACTCCCTCCCGCTTCCTCTCCTGGTCCCTTAACGCCGCGCACCGTTTTAACGCACCGTGTGATATCTGACTTATAAGTAATATGACGCTGGTTCACAACTCAATGTCGTCGTAACGACGACGGAAAGCCCATGTGGCATCGCTCTAAATCGACTAAAAGTCGAGCCAAAGATGAAATCGTATAAAAATAATCTTTTTTAACTTTATTTATGTGTCGCAATGAGATTTCTAAGTCTCTTGGCAAGTGTCTACGTGCTAAATAGAGTTCGTAGGTTCAAGAAAAGGTAGTGAATACGTGACCCGCGTCCTTTATTCCGTCTCTGTAAACTCTATTTAACAACTAATTTATAATAATAAATCTCATTTAACGCAACTGCTAATATGCGACATTCAGTTTTGGTATTAATATTGATACAAAAAGTACAAAACAACAATCTAGGGAAGTATTTTCACAAAAAGAAATTAATGTCATGATAGCAAAACATGGTATTCAATAAAAATAAAACATTAAATTTTGGTATTTAATTGCTCTATCGATAAAACTCAACCCTAGGTATCTTTTTGCCATCAATCACAAACCTTATTAACGTTTAATTTTACCACTCTCATATTTAATGTCGTTTCAAAATCATTTTATGATGACTCGATTTTATGCATTACAAAACCGAAAAATAATACGTCTGAAACTACTTGTACAGAGAATTCGCGACTTTATGGCTACGCGTTAGGAGCAGGAGAAATGATGTACCTATGTGGCAAAACTGAAACTACATATATTGCCTCTCACATAGTTTGCATCCTTTTATTGATGAGAATGAGAATCGCAAATATGTTTAAACAAAATTAATGATGTACACAAAGCAACAGCCGCACTAACTGGTGTATGTTTGCATACACAAACGTACACTTAGAAGTAAACATTACATAGGTAATGTCTCTTTGACATCTTGTAGTCAATGCGGCTTCGTCGATTTTGGCTATATGATATTGTTGGACTTATCTTGATGCCCAAAATTTCATAGGTAACATTTTATTTTTTTCGTTAATAATTCGCTTTTTTCTTATATTACGTAATGGCGACTGAAATGTTATAAGTAAGAGTGAGTACACACGGCGACTGTTAGCAACGCGTCTGCAGCGATTTTATTGCGATGCAGTAGCCATGTAGTCACTAACCGTCTACCTTTACACACACGCGCAACTTAAGCAGCAATACAATCGCGATGTACTTTCGAAATGATTTTTTTTATTATACCAAGTGACGGGATAAACAAGTCGTGCGACTGGTGGTAAGCGACTCGGCTATCCATAACAGTTGCAGTGCCATTCAGAGCTTTAAATCGCAAAGACCTTGTGGGCACTGCGCCCGTCACCCTGAGGCATAAGTTAACAAGTCCCATGTGCCTGTAATTTCACCAGCACCTTTCCCTTCTAAACCGGAACACTGTAATGCTCACGTTACTGCTTGGCGGCAGAAATAGGCAAGGTGGCAGTACTTCTCTGGACGAATCTTTCACTAGGAGCTTTACTACTACTACGGTGTCGATTGTTTGCTAAATGTAATTAATTTTCTCGGTGTATTCTGTGTTTATTTTTCGGTAACTAATTTAAACGCATCTTAGCATCACAGTTAGACATAGTCCGCAGCAATTTAATTAGTTTTTCAGTATTTTTATATTTATAAGTATTACTAATGATTGGAAAGAATAATTATGTCGCATTCAAAACGCGCGTTTGAATTGGTGCTAAAATTCCCCATGTGTAACCGCTCTAATAGTGAAATATGTAATTCTATTATCTGTTTAAGTAACCATTACTACTCAACTAATATTGG